ACGCGGTGCTCTGGCAGGTGGTGGATCACTACGAGAACCCGCGCAACGTCGGCTCCCTCGACCGCAACGCCAAGAACGTGGGCACCGGCCTGGTGGGCGCCCCGGCCTGCGGCGACGTCATGAAGCTCCAGGTGACCTTGGGGAACCGCTGGCACCGGGGAAGGGGGTCGCCTGGGGCTGCTGCAAGGCCCAAACCTGCCCCCTTCCCCTCAGGGGTGCAGCGCGGCCTTCCCTCACCCTCACCCACCCCCGCCCTGAAGTGTTCCCCGGGGCCCGGGCAGGCCCTATCCCGCTCCCAAGGACTCGGTGGGAGCCAGAGCCCTGCCTGGGCCTGAGGGGGTGGCTCAGGGTGGCTTTGGGGCGCCTGGCGGAGCCGAGCCAGCCCCTGAGGTGCCACTGATGCTCTTGCAGGTGGAAGTGGACAAGAACGGGAAGATCATCGATGCCCGTTTCAAAACCTTCGGCTGCGGGTCAGCAATCGCATCGAGTTCACTGGCGACGGAGTGGGTCAAAGGGAAAACGGTAAGGGTCCCCGCCAGAGTCAGAGGTGACACTGCAGAAAGCCTTGGAAGCTTCAAACCTGCTTGTGTTCTCTGTTGGGACCGCGTAGGAAACGGTGGTCTAGGAATCCCAGTACTGACTTTGTGCAGTGCGGTACAGTAGCTTAGAAAGCAGCAGCTGTCAACCCTGTTAGTGGTCTGACTTACAGAGCAATAGTTGCCTTTTCCAAGAACCTCCATTAATCTGCAGGGAAGTACTTTGTGTCTTATGCAGAGAGCAAAAACATGCTGATCATGGCTTCTGAAAGAAAGTTTAGTTATGCAGTGTCTTTAGATTATACTCTTTTTCTGCCAGACAGGAAACGCATTTCTATGTTACGATAAAAGGTAAGCATAGAACAATCCCCCCAGTGGCACTTAGTCTGTAACACTGGTATGCTTTGGTTCATTCCTGCCACTGCTCAGTCTGAGGCATTCCTTAATTCCGACGTCCTTCACTGCCCCGGCAGTTGAGACGTTCTTCCGTGTGGATTCTGTTGGCTCTGGAGCATTAAAGCACTCTTACAGCAAATGCCTTTGTAGCCCGTGTTGTGCCTCACGTGACCAGTGACTGACTGCACGCGATCTGTGTTTCAGGTTGACGAAGCGTTGAAAATCAAGAACACGGATATCGCTAAAGAGCTCTGCCTTCCTCCAGTCAAACTGCACTGCTCTAGTAAGTAAAGGACCAAATGGTGAAAGTTCAAATGCAAACTCGTATTTGAGAGGGAGGCTTCTGGGAACAGTGCAGATGCTTCTGAATGTTGTTTTCCAAATAAAGTTTCTGCACAAGGAACAGCTAAGGTTGGCCCACAAGAGAAACTTGCTTATCTTGAGATTTCGGGGTTATTTTACGAGTTTTCAGATCTCTTTTGTCTTTTGGACTCTCTAGCTCAGCAGACTGATAATAAGTGTTCCGATTCTGACATTCTACTTCTAAGATGCCGACCGGTGCTACCTGCAGCGGTGGTCACTGCTGGCTGCTCTTGTTTTTACGGCATCTTTTGTTCTAAACGATTGTTCGATTGTTCGTTGTCCTTGAAATACTTGTCTTGTTTGTAGTGTTGGCTGAAGATGCAATCAAGGCTGCCTTGGCTGATTACAAGTTGAAGCAGGATCCAAACAAAGAAGAGTCAGAGAAGAAAGCAAACAATGCCTAAACTGACTGTAAAGCTTGTTCTCATTCCACTTAAATTTGCAGTGCAATTATTCTAGCTATTAGTAGGATCCTGCGCACTACTAAATGAAGCTGTAAGATACGCACAACTTACGCACAATGTGTCACTGTTGATGTGTGTACAGCCACTCTTACAGTGCTTGCACGACTGGGATGTGGGTATTTCAGCAGCTATTTCAGCAGCCTGTGTCCTGTCACGACTGTGTTTGAAATGTTAGAGCGAAGAAGACTGCTCAACTGCGGAGAACTCGGTGGCTTCTCTCTGGAGAGAAAATCCTGCTGTTCCGGTACTGGAAGGGCTGCACTTTTTTGGAAGATGTATAGTTTTGCCTAATATTTTACAGAATTTAGTGGGAAACATTGCCTTGGTCTTAATGTTTATGTAAAAACTGCAGCTCAGTCTGTGTATCAATGCGGTATACAAATGTGGGGCGGCATGTCTGCCTGGAAACTACAGCTGTGTCGGAGTTTCATTTCGCAATCTGTGTGCGAGTTCCTCTTCTCCGGGGTGCTGGGACACTTCAGCAGGCACTAGAGGGCACTGACAATACGCTGGTGGGAGACGAGCAAGTAGCGGCTGGGTGCTGGGTGCCACCGCTCCAGGAAGCACAGAGCCGGTGCTAGCAGGGCTAGCTTCTGCTCGCGTCCTGTCACGACTAATGCTTGCTTTTTTCTTGAAGCCCCCGTTAGAGGAACAATCTTAATTTTGGAGTGTCTTCTATACGAATTCAACCTTTGGATGGGCCAAGTGCTCTGTTAAAAGAGAGTAAATACACCCTCGGGTTTGAACCCAGGAGGGGAATAGTGTAGCCGGGATGCAGAGCTGAGGGGGAGCTCCCAGGGGAGCAGGGGTCGGTCTGTGCCCGCTGGGGATGCCTCTGCATCAGTTCAGCTGAGCTTTGCCGGAGGAGTGGGTCGTGGGGAGAGCGTGGGTGATTTCACCTACTCGAGGATTCGCAGGCTGAGCGTGTGAGCTGGCTTCCCGGGAGCTGGGGGCACACCAGTGTTTGAAAATTAAATGTTTTGTGGTGATCTGGCACGGCTTGCCCTCTGTGCTCCAGGCCGCCGTGCTCTCCTGTGCCTTCTGGTGGTTCCTCTTCCAGGGGAGTATTTCCATAGATTTCCAAAACAAACAGAAAACACGTTTGAAAACTTTGCCTGCTCTTAAGATTTTAAACCACCCAAGAAACCTTACTTGCCTTTTTTCATACCTAGGGTGTTTTGAAAACATTAAAAACCGCATTTAAAAATAAGTGGCTCGTTCTGATGTATCTGTCCACGGCTATATATATTTTTTTAATGCAGAGCAGGCCATGTGGTGTTGCTGCTGTGGTTTGTCGCTCACAGGACGGATCTTGCAGTACCTCAGCTTGGCACCGCCCCACGTGCTGGACGCTGGCCCTCGGCACGGCCCCTGTCTCCTGCCGCCCTCCTGCAGCGAGGAATGTGCCTCGCTCCCCAGGAACAGTCCTGTGGTTTCCCAGTTAAAAAAAAAATCGGGGAAACTTCAGACACCCACGTCCGCTTTGGGGCAGAATGGGCTCATTGTGCTCCCAAGAGCTCCTCGAAAAATGCAAGAGGGAGATAAAAGCCAGCGCACTCTCCCAAGGGGAAAGGTTGTCCTGATGCAGGGACACAGGGACACATCCCTACCTGTCCCATGGCTGGGATAAAATGCAGGGTTACAGGGATATGGGGATGTGCAGATGCAGGGACATGGGAATGCATGGATACAGGGATACGGGGATGTGTCGCCTTCCAGGCAGAAAAGCCTCTTTCGCCTTCCAGGTTTGCTTGCCATCCCTGCTGGGCGCAGCTGCGTCTGCGCCGAGGCGTGCGGCAGCACCGCAGCTCCCCTGCCCTCGGCTGCGGGGTGCAAGATAAGAGTTTCCCAGAAACGGCGTGTCAGCGTACAGATTTTGTGAACGATAAGCGCGTCCCCCCGAGTCTTGGGGTTTCATCCACACAGATAACCTTCACCCCGAAGCACAGGCAGGCCGGCTGCATCTGCTGAGCTCTGGGAGCACGCGTGGATCCCGTGGGGCTGGAGCCGAAACCGGCTGCGCCCCAACACCAGCGCGATGCCGGGAGGGCCCTGAAGGACCGGGGAGCACACAGATATGGGGACTGTGCCTTGGCCACCCTGCAAGTTGCAGAAACACACAGGAGAGTAAATCTGCGTAGGAAACGTCTTTATTACTAGCTGAAGGGGTTAAGAAAATAAGGCAAAAATCCAGCTGGGCTCTGGGCTGCCCTCGGGTCATGGCTTCGGGCAGAAAAATGAAAGGATGGGTCCTTGCTACTAAATCCTCTTCCCTTCTCCCCTTAGCTGGGCTAGGATGGCCAAGGTCATCCCGTCCTCATTTCCTCAGTGGTCACAGCGATCAGCAAAGCCAGCCCACGGTGCCCGAGGTCCTGTCGAGCCCCTGCCCTGCTCCCCACAGAGAGGGGGATGGCTGCACAGACCCCCCGGCTGCAGTGCCATGCCTCTGCCCAGAGGATGCAGCTCCCGGCCAGGCACCCGGCAGGGGCCAGGATGCTGCTAATTAGTAAAATTATATTTGGGAGAAAGCTGGCGGTGTTTGGCAGAGGGCAAGGGCTGCCCGGCACAGCACTGGGGGGGGACAGAGCTGGAGCTGGGAGGGGTGCATCCACAGAGCGCCCAGGGATGGGAAAAGCCCC